ACACACTCTCTCTCTCTCTCTCTGTCTCTCTCTCTCTATCTTTCTTTCTCTCTCTCTCTCTCTCTCTCTCTCGCTCTCTCTCTCTTTCACTCAGAGACGGACGTTAGACTCGAAGGTCCCGCCTCTTAAATAACCTAGTAGTATTGATAGGAGGTGTTAAGCCTATACCATTTCACCATTTTCACAAAGTATTTGTTGGAAAATAATTCTAATTGTGAGCTCTTATTAAGATGAGCAGGAACACTGACTTGGAAGAGGAAACAGGACTTTAAGGAAGTTTACTTGCCAGTAAAGCCTACTACAGTAAAGTATCAGGGTACAAAGCAAGAGGAAGACCAAGAAATACCTGGATCCAGGGTGTGAAGGATACCATGAGAACATGCAATATCCCACCCAGCCAGGCCATCAAACTTGCTAGAGACGCCCTAGAGGTACAAGAGGACGGATAAAGTAAAGTGAAGTACCTGAGCAAAGAAAAAGAGTACAGATTTTGAACCGGAACTTTTCGTACAGATATATTTTAAAAGAAAGCGCTTGTGAGAAGAAAGAGAAGAAATTGTACAGTTTCAGACCCAAAAAAGTATGTGACCTTCTTTGTTCCTCTCGTGGAATTTTTCATATCAACATTCTCCCTCTACCAGTTGCAGACATGTCATGTATATACATATATACATACCTATCTATCTATATATATATATATATATGTATACACACACATACGTCATGGCTGTCTCAAGAAAGAAACACTGAGAACACTGCCCTCCCCCCTCCCCCCAAAGTTACATTAAAGACATGTTTATTATCAATGTTGTTTGGGTTTTTTGGGGTTGTTTTTTTTTCTCGGTTCATGATATTAATGATTTGTTCTCATTGCTCTGGCTTACCTTTACGTCACTTACTCGTTTTTTTCGGTTCATGAATGGTTTGATGTTCATTTTATGGTGCTATCCGTGTATGATTTTAATTAACACATCCACTACGCATGGAAATCTACATTGTCGTCATAGTTAATATATTTATGAAAGAATGTCGGAATTGATTATGTATGTAGGCCTATGTAAGGGTGTGTGTGTGTGTGTGTGTGTGTGTGTGTGTGTGTGTGTGTGTGTGCGCGAACATTTGATTTTTATGGAAGAGGAATGTACAATGCTTATGCACAAATTACGAAGGTGATGGGGGAAAAGTTGAGTGTGTGAAATTAGAGGTGAAAGCCTTGACTTTTTCATGAGGCGTCGGATGTTGGTTAAAAATCTTTATAAAATTGGCTTCATGAATCATGCTCAAGAAGCTCAAGAAGTGCTGTGACAAGCGTTGGGTTGTTGGTTTTGAAACACTCTCTTGCTAAGCTGTGTCTGTCCATTGTTAGAACACTTTGCGGTCACACAGCCTGCAGTACAAAAGTAGTACCCCATCTGGTCATCCAGCCAGGCAACGAGTGAAAGCAACAGACTTTTCAGGACTGTCGCAGAACTGTGTCAAGTAAGTGACTGGAACGAATTGTTTTTACCATTGCATTATCGCAGCAAGTGACCACCGCAAAGTGTAAAAGAAATTGGGAGGATATTGGATTATTACAAGTTTTGAAGTTGAGACACTGACTTGAAGATTTGCAGTCTCCCATCCCTCTCCCTGGAGGGAAATTGGAAATGGAAATTATTCTTATTGGAAGAACGAGAAAAGTGTTTCTGACTGGTAAAATGTATATGTATAACATGGAGTCTGTTTGAACCGACCATGGTTAATTCTAAAACATGAGAGGACTTAAAGCAAACAAACTAAGTTTTTTTTCATCTGCTATCTTAATAATCTCTCTGTAGAGAAAACTCTGCTAAATGGAAGAAAATAATAATAATAGATAGCATTTGTATAGGGCAAATCCCCCCTCAAATCCGGCGTTCCAGTAGATTTTGGCTCGTGCGAAGTCCATTATAGTAGGATGCAGGTTAGTGGATAGGGCGTGCTGGCTGGGCAAAACTCCTTCTTCCGAGTTGTTCAACTTGTACCGCGATCAGTCTGATAAACAAGATTTGCTGCCAGTGTTTGTTAGGAGGTCATCATCATTTGTAGATCTAACTGTTAATCATTTTTATCAAAGTTAGTTTACCCTTCCGTCTGTCCGCTGGGGGCGAGCGACATGTATTCCTCTCACTCTCAGCCTGGGTTGGCCCTGATTGATGGACATGATGGAAGTTGGAGCAGCCTGCGCCTCCTTTTTCAATCTTCAAACAATCACAATAATTGGTTGGCTCTACACACAGTGCGCATTCTTTCGGCTACCGTAGAGCTGTGTCGGAGGTGTGAATGTGTGTTGATTAGACGTACCTCTGTTGTTCATCTGCTACTTTCATATATATATATATATATATAATATAACTGTGTAAATATTGAAATGCGTGCTTGGTTTTGAAAGAGTTGTGGAGGAGAAATTATGTGAGTGAGCTGGTGAAGTGTTTTGGTACCAATCCTGAAGTGAAGTTTTGGTTTGTTTTTGGTTTTTGAGCAGGCCTCTGAAGACTTTTAATGTAACATATATGTGTGTGTGTGTGTGTGTGTGTGTGTGTGTGGTGTGTGTCGTACATGCTCACCAGCAAGGAAGAGTAGATCTGGGTATATATATA